TTATGGACATTTGGGAGGGTATGTACTATGGTGAGTGGTGTGAATTGTGTAAGACTGATGAATCACAGACCTATACACCTGAAATAAATAATATATGTTAATTTTTAAAAAAAGACTGACCCAGCCCAAAATGTTAATAATGCAGAGGTTGAGGAACCCTCATAGGGGAGGATATTTATGTCTTTGATCTTTTCCTCTTGAACTAAACTTTCTCCACTCTACTGCCTTATCTTCCTAAGGAGAACAGAGCTATCCTTAACTAGTATCATTACTATAATCATTAATGGGACAAATCAACTCACACTAATAGCAGTGCACATTTGCACTTCACAGGCTGCAAGAATGTCTTCTAAAAAATTTTCATTTGCTTCTCTCAAGAATTTGGGAAGTATCATCATATTCATTTTTGAGCAAATGACACTAGATAAGCTAACCATCATTTCTATGAGTTGAAAGAGGTAAAGAAATTGAAGCTCAGGGATATTAAGTGATTTGTTCAAGATCACATGCATAAAGCAGCAGACTGTTAGAGACACCCCAAATCAGGCTTTGTGATAACCCTGGCCCCCTCGCTTTCACCACAGTGGACTTCTCATGGAATGGTGGTGGCCCAATGGAAATATAATGTAAGCCATATACATAATTTAAAATTTTCTAGTAGCCACATAAAAAGTAAAAAGAAACAGATGAAGTCAATTTTAATATATTTTATTTAAGTGAAATATATTTAGAATATTTATAATATACAACATATAAACATATTTCCGCAATCAACATACAAAATTATTCATAGAATGGTTTACAAGTTTTTGTACTAACTCTTCAAAGTCTGGTGTGTATTTTATACTTAAATCACACCTCACTTGCAATTAGCCACATTTTAGTACTCAATAGCCCTGTGACTAATGGCTACTGTTTTGCACAATACAGGTTGCATGTGTGTGTGTGAGGGTGGAGGGAAAAGAGAAAAGGAAGAGAGACATGGGGAGGTGTAGAGGTTCCTGTGGGTTAAGACCGACAACTTGAGGAGAGTGGGGTAAGTAGATGATGAGTGCGATTTTAGGTGGCATTCAATCTAGGTCAAGATCTGCTGGAGTAAAAATGTTTAAGCTGAGATCAGAAGGAACTGCTCAAAGTTACAGGAATAGTGGCAAAGTACATTGCTAGAATCTAGAAATTAAAAGCCTTAGCTAGAATTTGTTCATGTATGTCTTAAACTAGGCTTCATATTTTCTCCATCCGTAAAAGCAAGTTGATTTGCAGAATCAATGCTAACCATAGAAATGCTTTTCTAAAACCATTTACAAATAAAAATATACAATGCCCTTGGAACGAAAAGCATGATTTGCAGTATCTGTGCCGTAAGGTTATTAGGACAAGATTTCTTTCCCATCTCACAGAAGCTGGTCATCCTTAGCAAAAGAAAACTTAAGAACTAAACAACATAGATTTTTCTTCTGACTGCTTAAAGTATAGCAGTTTTTATGTACATTTCACGTCCTCATGGAGAACATTCTCACCATACATTCCAGTCTCCTGTGTGGCAAAACGTCAGGTCTACCTCAGTGAGGCAGACACAGCTTGTTACATAGGCAACGTAAGGCGAGAGGAAAGAGGCTTCTGTGTTCTAGCCAATCAAAGATGATGAGGAAGTAGAAAAAGAGAACCCAACAGTTGTAATCTATTATTTTTTAAGCCTCATATCATGTGCCTACAAGCTTATAAAATCTAAGCCTCACTGTAGCCATGGTAAATCAGTGTTTCTTACCCTTTGTGCAGATTGGGAAATGGACCCTCAGAGAAATTAAATAACATGACTGAGTTCCTAATGCTAGGTTTGAAACTTAGTTCCTGTTGATTGTGAAGAGAGTGGAAATCTTTCCTTTGTGCTAGGATGGCAGTTCATCCCAAATGAAATCTAAAGACTTTGAAAAGTAACCCAAAAAAGCTCCCCAGAGTTCTAAATTAATTGCAAAATAGAAAAAGCCACCTTCTCTTTTCCTTCATGTTTGACATTCATAGAGAGGAGAGAAAGGCAGGCAACTAAAATAATCTTTGATTACTTTTTGTGCAATTCCCAAGTAGACCCTCTGAATTGGCCAAAAATGTAATCACTAATGAGTTTATGGTGTGTCAGGCCCTATTTTGAGACTTCACCACACAGGGTAACTCATCTGATCTTCACCATAACCCCATGAAGTCAGTGCTGTTATTTTCATTCCCATTTTACAAATGAGGTGCACAGAGGTTAAGTGACCTGCCGAAAGTCACCCAGCTGGTAAGTGGCAGAGCCTGGACTCAAAGCCTAGGTGGTCTGGCTCATAGACATAATGCAGAGTGCCTCATTATGCTGCTAAAGATCAATTTAGTAAATGTCTCTAGTGGGATTAGATTTAAACTAAACAGCCTGTTGCATGCAAATGTCGTGTTTCTGTGGAGTCTTTGAAAACTCCCAGTTGACTCAAAGTTCTCTCAAGGCTCTGAACCTGCTACTCTTTTTGGTGAGGGCTTATCACGGAAACTCCTATCCTCGTTGTCATCTTATTAGTCTTAAGTATTATAATACCCCATGAGAAACAAAAATCTAATCTCTCTAGCCAAGCATTTTATTAGAGAAATCTGCCCCAAATCCTTCTTCATGTGCATTTTTTAAAAGATTTTATTTATTTATTTGCCAGAGAGAGAGAGAGAGAGAGAGAGATTGAGAGGAAGAAGCAGACTCCCCACTAAGCTGGAAGCTCCATGCAGGACTCTATCCCAGGATCCTGAGATCCAGGCCTGAGCTGATGCTTAATCAACTGAGGCACCCAGGCACCCCCTCTATGTCATGTTTTTATCTTGATCAACCTGAATCAATGATCTAATTGTGGGCTGAAGGAAGCATTATCATTCTAGGCAGGATGTGAGGACCCTCTGGATCCAATAACTTAACCTCCCATTAACTGCCAGGGTTGGTGCACTTCATCTGGAACCCAGCTGCCGAGCCTGATGGCTTCTTCTTTCCTTGCTGCTCTATGTCCTCCAAAAGGCATCCTGCCTGGTGAAAATCTAGCTGTCCCTCGATTTCAAAGGAAACCTAGCTTGTGACAGTGGGAAGCAAATACTTCAGTTGGTTCAACCTCAAGACTGTGTCATTTACCCTCGGCCCTTTCAACTAGCACAGCAGCTGGCTAATAGTAGGGACACAATAAATATTTGTTAAATTAATCACCTCTCTAAACCTATTCTGTTTCTGCATCTCTGCATTAGATATAGTGGCTCTATTTACAATATAAGATGATTATGATAATAGCAGCAAGAAATTCATTACTTTCTTTGAAAGGTAAAAAATCATGATATGAATATGAATGACTTTTGCTGAAAAGCCTTAATTTTGAAACTTAATCATTCACATCCTTAAGTATGTTATTTGAATTATAATATAAAAATACTATAAATTAAATGCTAAAAGCGGTGCAGAATGAACAACAAGTAAAAAAAAAAAAGTAGAAAAAAACAAAGGAAAACCAAGGTATGACTAACAAGCCCACCAACTTGTGGAAGCACCTTTATTGTTCTGTTCTCATTTAACAAGCAGAAGGTTCATGGTGCTGATGGATTTCAGTTTTAATGGGGACAGAATGCAAGTATTTATCCAAGAGAAATAATGTGTTTCCAATCTTGGTCACTGCCCACCCCGCCCCAAGAAAAAGCCCCACACAAGGAATACAATTCTGGTTACCATAAAGTCTCAGATATGCAGGCCCAAATCACACAGTTCTTCCATAAACTGGGTCGCAGAACACAAGAAACATGATGTGGGCAGGTGAAAAAGTTAACTGGGTACCCAGGATTACCTGTGGACTGCACTTTCTTCCCAACCTTAACTTCTAACACTCTCTATCGCACTTCACACTCTAGCTGAAAGATCCAAACTACTGCTAGTGCAGAGATGAAAGAGAAAAGAAAAGAAAGAACAGGGAGGAACGGAAGGAAGAAAGCAAGCAAGCCAGCCAGCCAGTCACATGGTTATATCTACCAAATATGAAAACTGATTCTATATGGATGTATGTGAGCGAATTAGAATGGGGACAGACAAGCTCTAGGCCGGAAACTAAGCTCTGATCCAGGACCACTTAAAGACCTGTGAAGAGGTACTTGCCTTTGCTGAGGGCTTTTTAAAGTTTTGTATCTCATTAAATCCAAAGTACCATATCACAAAATCCTTAACCCCTGGTGGACATGAATGCACATCCTAGGCAGCTCTAAACTGCAAGAGCTAATTCTTGTATCTTCCATTGTCAGGAAGGACACAGGCTATCTCACAATTTAGGAAGGGGCTTCTAGAGAAACTGAAGAGTCAACGGTGGGGGCCAGAAGAGAGACAAAAAGAAGACAGTAACATGGATTTTGTATAAGGCAAAATCAGCACAAGCAGCCAGCCAACAGGTTGCCCTTGTTACAGAAGCCATATAATCCAGCTCTGAATCTGTTTTCTCAACAACCCCCACCCTTGCCAGGTAACACCTCAGGACTTAGGTCTCTGCCAACTTCTCTGACCACACGAAGAAAAAAAAATGTGGGAGAAAGAGGAAATTAAATAATATAAGACACTTATCTACTCCAGTTTACTAATAATGTGGGTGGTGACGCTTCAAAAGCCGAGTTTGGGAGTTAAGGGGAGGAGAGAAAAAGAAACCACAATCCCTCTGAGCTCAGCTGAGGTCTCCGCAGAACAAGTGTCAACGTTTTTAAAGGGCACGGCTTGTTCTCAGTTGCAAAGCACACCGGCTGGCAGGGTAGGCGCGGGGGACTGCTTACCCGGAAGCCCTCAGGACGCCCGTGGCGGAGGGGGGGCACCCCAAAGACATTGACATCACAAGCACCAAGCCAGGCGCGCTGCCCCTCCTTCGCGAAGAGGGGGCACCCGTTGAGGGCTCTCCTTGCCCTGCAAACACCAGCCGGGGGGAAGCCTGAAAAGTGGAAGCAAAACCAGCACAAATGAAAGAAAGACACGTTACCTTGTTCATCCCATTCCCCATGGTGGCTGAATGCGAACTCTAGCACCCTTGGAAATGAGGTCGCAGGCTCACTAATGGCATGTTACAACAGGAGGGAGGAGCAGGTGGTGCGGGCGGGGGAGGAGGCCCTGGGGAGTAATTTCGTGCTCGCAGTATAAACAACAACAACAACAATCAGGGACATCCAGGCCACTCGGCTTGCTCCAGGTAGCTGGCCTGGATGGAAGAGCTTTCCGCTCGTCCGCCCCGGACTTCCCGGCCGAGCAGAGCAGAGAACTGGCGCTCTTGCCGGGAAATGGTCTCGCTTTGCCACTGCACGCCCCGTGAGCGCCCAATCAACCCTCCCCGGCGGCTCCCTGGGACTTGTAGTCAGGCTCCCGGGCGCTGCGACGGCTCGCCCCGCCCTGCGCAGCCCACAGCTTCCCGGCTGCGGGAGCCTGAGCCCAAAGCGCACGCGCAACGCGAGCGCCGGGAGCCGCTGCTATGATCCGTTGGGGAGGACTTCAGGGCGGGGGCGGGGCCTGGTGGTCGCGCAGGCGCCTCCCCAACCCGGCCTCAGCACGTAACGCAGCAACCTCCCCCGGGATCAGGGTCACCAAAACTCCCGCAGACCTTTTCCCCTGGGGCGACTGGGGAGACCTGTTACCAGTAGTCACCACCCTTCCTTGACTGCCTCGGTGAATCAGGTGCTAATCAGAGCCTTGGTCTTCGCAGCTCCCCTTCTTGGGTTTTCTGAGGGCGACAGTTTTAGGCCCGGGTTGGGGGATTCCTATGGCCCTGCCCCACCCACGAAGACCGAGAAGACTCACCCGGTGGGGAAAGGTGGACTCAGTGACTCATCTCTGGGATGACCTAACCTCCCTACTGTGGGGGAGCAGATGGCCAGATCTCAGACCTCATACTGTGTCATGAGACGTCTAGTATGTGCCCATCTTCAGATATAAACTGGCTGTAGTAGGTGGCTTAGCTGTGTTGATAGAGTTGCTTCTGGAAAGCCCCTGTCCTTGCTAAACAGCATAATGTCTGCATTATAATTGTGTCTACAGTAGAATACTTTCCAACCTATAGTAGAATTGTTTTGAGAATTCTGTCACTTCTACTAAGCAGCTTTCTTCCCTGGGGACGGAATCCTTGAGGTAGGGGTTTCTCAGTGTTATTTTTATTTCGTTAGCAATGCTCTGTACAAAATAGGTGCCCAATGTTAAATGAACATATATTATCAATCTAATATGGCTGGGCTCACCCCTGATGACCTTATTTCAGCTGCTCCTTCTTGCTCAACAACTTAACAGCCACACTGACTTTCTTTGTGCCTCTTGAACCTGCCAGGCTGGATCGTGCACTCTGTATGGGCTGTGCTCTCCATCCAGACCTAGCCCTTTGCAAAGCTGGATCTTTCTTTGAGGTCTCAGCCCAAATGTCACCCCTCCTCAAAGAGGCTTTTCCCTACCACCCAATTTAAAGCAGATTCTTAAGTCACAGTTAAGTTATCCTATATTTTTTCTTCATGGTATTTAACCTAATTGGACATTATCATATATGTTTGCTTACATTTTATCTGTCTCACTAAAAAGCAGCCTTCTGATGTAAAGGACCTTACCCATCTCATTCATTGCCAAAGCCACATGGTCTGGGATAGTACCTGGCATGAAATAGGGGTTCAGTATATACTTGTTGAATAAATTAATGAATTCTGGAGGACTGATACCATCAATTAGATTCTGAAGGATGCTGACATTTTGTAAAGAACTTCCAGATTCCATCTGAGTCATATCTCTCCTTGGACTCAATATATTTTCTGGGCAGTAGCAGGGACAAGAACCCTCATGTAGGAAGCCCCCACTCAGTGTTCACCCAAATTGTCTCCCATGGGTTGGTTGGAATCCAGACCTGCCCTCTTGCTTATGGAGTGTTTCTTCTCTACCACCTTCACTTCCTCTTGTCTTCCTCACCTTCCAGACACCTGGACAGCATATCTCCTATCCCTCTGCTCCTCACCATCACTATTTTTTTACTGCCTTCCTGCTTATAGATAACACAAGGTGGTTAGTAGACTGCCTGGGGGAGTCTGTCTGGGGAATCCCAAGACCAGACTTTGTTCCTGAATCTCATAGTGATCTTTGGCAAGATGATCAACTTTTCTGAACCTGTTTTTTTTTTTTTTTCCCTCCTCATTTTAGAGAGCATTGAACTTCAAATTTTTGAAGATCCTATTCAGCAATCAATGAACTACTTTTTCCCCTCCACTTCACTTTTGCTGTTGTTGTTTCCAGTAGACAGATGAACTTTCAAGAACATAACCAGTTCATAAGTTGGTACTTTCCAATAAATGGCAGATCCATATGAATTTTTTCTTCTGTAATCCATTTGGAACATTTCCGTTCTCTTACTCATTTCTTATAACCTCTTCTAAGCTCATAACTTGTGATGGTTATCTCTTAACAGTCAAAATGGGTACTCTGGTCTTCATAAGACCAATACTCTGGTCTTAAAAGATCCACATGATCAGAACTGATTTCAAATCCTCAAATTTTTATTTTTGGTTAAATGAGAAAAGAGAAGACCATTAACATCAGAAGTCAGAAGACTTATTTTAAAAATATATTCTGTGGGATGTTTCTCCATAAGAGACTGTCTCCCTTCACTCCCCTCATCCTATCCTAGAGCTTAATCCTACCTCTCTTTATCATCACACAACAATTAACAGTTTGTCATATCTTGCAAGTCTATGACTAAAGAAAAGGAAAAGGAAAAGTCTGATCCAGTTTGGGCACCAAGTCCTGGTTTCCTTTCTTTTCATTTTCACAGCAACACCTCTGAGATTTTCAGGTTCAGTTCTCCTCTTGAACGGGGGAACGGCCTATTTCCAAGTGCCTTTCTGTCTTCTTTTATTCTTGATAGCTCCTTATTATAGAAAGAAGGAAAGGAAGGAGACTCCTAGAAGAAGCTGGCAAGTTTCACATCTAAAGTAGAAACTATTCTTTTGCATTCTCTCTGGCTCATAAAATTTTTTAAATCATCACAAGCCTAGTGGAATCTCATGCCATATAAGATTTTTGCTTCCATTTTCTTTCCTTCCATTTTTGTGTCTCTCAAAACAACACCATGAATTTTGGTAATGACTCCAAATAAGTAAAGCCTTCACATGTGCATGGTGAAGAATATTCTGTTAAGCGGAGTTCATAGGCATGTGGTGAAGGATAACCACTTAATGTTGTATTTAGTGAGCAATAACTGAACTTTAAGGTAGTAGTGTGCAAAAGTCCACCAGCAGAAGCTCAACAATTAAAGTCAGCCAGATTATGAGGGATAGTACTGATAATTTCAGAGAATTGAGATAAACATCTGACCTAATGAAAAGGAGCTACATAATCTTCCTTGGCCTTTTAAACATTCTATAATCCAGAGTTTCTCAACCTCACTATTGCTGATATTTGGGGCTGATTTTATTTATTTATTTATTTATTTTTTGCTTGTGGGGCTGTCCTGTGCATTGTAGGATATTTAGGAGTATCCCTGGTCTCTATTACTATATGTTACTAGCATCCCTATAGTGTCATGACAATCAGAAATATCTCCAGTCTTTGGAGAGCAAAACGCATTTCCTGCCATTATCATCTGAATGATAGGGCCACATAGATATCGTCTTTCAGACATGAAATCTCTTTCTTTCTGTAACTTTTTCCTTCTTTCTTTCTCTTGCTTTATAACAAGTTAAATTTATACTAATAGATAATGTTAGTCTTCCACAGAATTCTTAGGCCATGCTGTCATAAGAACAAACTAAGAACAAGAAGTTAAAATGAAGAGCTAATATAACTAAAGCATGACTGAAAGTAAAGGAAGCTAATGAATTATGGAAAGAAGAAGAAAGATGGAGTCTAGAACTACCTAAGCAAAAGCACAAAACATTTTCTTTATTTCTTCAGAACTGCCCAGAAAGAGGTCACCCGGTTGACTGAGGCCATGCAGAGAAGCCTGATCATAAGAATGGGCTCCTCAGTGACCTCAGCCTTTCAAAAACCACCAGTTTCCAGATTTCCAAGCAGTCTTCTGATTATGACCTTGGTGTCCTCCTTCCCCTTAAGAGGTTTGGAGAGCTCAGATCTCAGAGCATAGCCATCTAGTGAGGTCAGAGAAGAGCAGTAAGAGGAATGGTTACATAGGTAGGTAAGCAGGGTAGAGATAGAGGGTCAGAGAATCTGGGGGTAGGTAAATGGAGAGATACTAGCAGACTTAGTTAGGAGTCAATAAAATCTGCTATGTGTAGAGTTTCTGGGAGTGTTGGCAGAGGTAAGGCCAGTGTTGGAGGAATGGGGTTATCAAGAAGTTTACAAAATGAACCCCTAGGCAAAAGGGGAAATAATAGCCCTTATTCCTAAAAATCAGGTAGAAAGAGACACTGTTGCCAGGCTATGGGTTATAACATGGATGCATGTTTATTTTGAGTATACCTAGCTTCCAAAATTGCAGGCTTCATGAGGACAAGAACCAGGTGTTATCCCTCTTTATATCCACCACCTACAATAGTTCCTAGTATATGGGGAAATTTTCTGATGTTTTTTGATTAAAGATAGAAAACACAACTGGGAGGTTGTTGCATTTGTCCAAATGTGAGGTTCACTAATAATTCATTCTTTTATATACTACTCTATCATCACCTCACCTACCTGTTTCTCCTTTTGTAGAGCAATTTTTATGTGAGATGGCTCTTTGATCTAAGGATGACCAAAGTCCTATTGTCCTTTGTTTTTGAAAGTGATGTAGTGCACACTGGTGTAATGGTGGTGGGCGGGGAAAGTCCTTGCATATAGTGCTTTCATGCATTGCTGTACTCTTGTACTCTGCCACTTGAGTTGCTATCATAGCTGTAGCTGGCAGAGCCCAGTACTGTCTGTAGTTCTGCCCTTGATATCATGTTGTTCTTTGAGCTTTGGTTAAGAAATCATTCCTGGTTTATGAACATCCATTTTGCTGGTTGGCTATGGTTATTTTCCTTGTCTGGAATGGTTTTCCTTGACCTCTGTACTTCCCTATCTTTGTCAAGAAAGGTCTACCTGAGACAACAAATGGTTCTTTTAAGACTTTCCATTGTTGGGGGCCTGGGTGGCTCAGTGGGTTAAGCCTCTGCCTTCGGCTCGGGTCGTGATCTCAGGGTACTGGGATTGAGCCCCTCATTGGGCTCTCTGCTTGGCGGGG